AGGCGATGTCTCTCACTTCAAATCTCATCACTTTCGGTATGATGTACTACCAAGTGTTCATCTCAAATATCAGATTATCAAATGCTGTTGAACACGATATACATATAGAACGGAAGGGTTTAAAACCGGAAACTGTTGGAATTTTAATTTTGATGTTAAGATTTGATGCTTCTAACATTTGCTTGCGACTGCATCTTCATCCTAGAGTAACATTACTGCTAACAGTTAGGTGCTTTGCTTGGCAAAGTAAATCCCTGAAATCAGTGCGGAATTAGTATTGCGAATCCAGGTCTGAGTAATGAAGTGAGTTCAATATATTAACATATATGCTAGCTGCGATCAGTTGCAAAAACTAATTCGCACTTTCTTTAACGCTGAGTATTATGCCGTTTATCTTGAAGCTTGTTGCTTTTAATTTTATGGCTGTTTTAATTTTAGCTCTGTGGATTTATACCACTGTGGTTCTGCAGCAGGCAGGTTGAAGGCTCCACCAAAGCCGTTTAGGGTCGCTGTACTTCACAACAAAAACAAATCGCCTGTCGTCGGTAGGAACAAGTCTGGTCAGTTTAAAGAAATTTCTGGAAGCACCGATCATGATGATTATCACGAATATTGTGATATTGATTATGAGGAAGCTCTGGAAGATGTTCACTCAACTAAATTTGGGGTAACTCCTCCTCCGTTACCGTTAAGAAACGAGCTTCAACGGGACAGTGCTTGCGTTCCCGACATAACAATATATGATCAGCCAAATCCCGAGTGCAGGCCATGCGTGTTTCACGAAGTGCCATCGCAACTGCAGTTGAATGAATATCAATCTGAGTTGTTCGATGCTGACTCAAAACCGCTTGATTCAAGACTGTGGCCTCAAGTCGAAACTGCACTTCTGACAGTGGATTTTTCACAGCTCGCCTGCCAGTTGACTAAGCAGGATTTTCAGTTGTTGCAGACCGACTCCGTGAACGATAACCCGCGAAAGACATTAAACGGTCTTCTTCTATTCGTTTTG